AATTTAAATTATGCTTATCTTTGCTACATATTGATACTGGTTAATTTTTCTTGCAGACAGTGGGCAATGATGATGAACAATCCTTCCATGTGCAAATTTGCAACCGAGAGAGTGTGTATTACGAAAACCAAGGTAAAGAATGTGAGTCTTGTGGTCCTCCTAACACTTGTGGGCTGGTGCTATTTGTGACATTTAGCTTGTTACTTATTGTTGGGCCTTAGTTGCCTAGGTGTCACTCACCTATTGGTGGCTTTGATTTCACCCGGATTGTGTTAGTTTGCTTGTATTGTGACCGTTGGATTGAGATCAATGGTTGGGATTAAAACTTGGCTTAGATATTTTCTTGGATTGACTTTTGGGCTTATATTCACGTGATCTTCCTTCCTTGAGACTCTTCTCTTCTTTCGTCTCTCTGTCTGGTATCTGCCTCTTGTGATGGTGTGTATTCTTCTTCTTCCTTGGATACTCATTGATCCTTGAACCTGTTGTAAAGGGAAATGCCTGTGTGTTTCTCAGACTTGAAATAGGGTTGAGTTATTAGTTTATTCTCGGAGGCTTAGGTCAGTGAGTTAGGAATGGACTTTGGCTGTTTTTGGTAGACCTTTCGGTCGATGATCCAAGCCAAGTGAGGAAGCATTCTAGCAGGTTCTTGTACTCTCTTTGGAGGGCGATTTGCAAGGCGTGGGAGGCTGTTCCTGAGCCTAGTCATTTTTGGCCAGCAAGAAAGGAAGAAGAAATGGGTATTTGGGACGGTAAAAGGGAAGGAACTTTCTACCCCCCTTTTTGATTCTGTCTCGTCTATGATTTCTTTATTCTGTTGATTTCTTTATGCTATGCTTATTTAAATGTTTAGATTGCATATTGAACACTGAGGTTTTCAGATTGGATATTGAACTCTGTCATTGCATGATTGAGCTCTTGAATTCGGTTAACCTCATTTTAGAGTCTATATTATGCTATATTAATTCCTAACAGGGTATTTTCCCAATTTGATTCAGTTGGCTTCTCTATTGCCCCAGAAGGAAGATAACTTAAAGA